GGAAACATAGTATTTCCTCCCCCATTCCAAAAGGATAAGGACACTCGATAAACGTATCCGACGGTGAGCAACGAAATCAATCCGGGGACTCAAATTCAAGCCTTAAGAACATCTTCAATCACTGAACCTTTTCCAATTAGAGTACAGGCGTCTTAGAGGTGACCATCTAATGGCTTACGGCATCCCAAATACTTCTAGACATCCTGTTAAACACCTACTTAAACTTAGTTCGAACAGAAGCCTTAGGTATAACACCCAGGAACTGGAGACACGACACAGTAGAACGGACTGTAGACACACCTTCTACTCCTTAAGAGTAGTCAAATGCTGGAATTCTTCGCAAGCTGAGCTAGTCCAAGCGTCTTCCCAAGTGTCCTTTAAGTGAAATCTTGACATATTCTTAAGGACTAAGGATAGCATCTCACTATGATTTATCGGGTTTTTTTCTTTTTCCCCTTTTATCGATAATATACCTACGTCCCTGCCTGGAAGTATTGGTAATCCACTGCTACTAGATACGGAAGCCCGTTAAGTGAAAGGTTCTTGTATTCTTTTCAAAACCACTGGAACAAGATATAGACATTAAAATACTATAAGCATTTGTTAAATATATTGTGGAATTTTATACAATCGGCTATCATCTATGTGTAATATACACCTTTGGAGCGTATCACTTAGCTCGCAAAATCAAAATTATATACTGTACAAACTTGTTACATTATATCGTTGAAATAAAATAGTCATAACAAAACTGTCTACTCAAACATATTAGAATATCTTTCTAGTACATTTTACTTAGTCAAATTTAAAGTTCGTTGAAGTTAGACATTAATACCGTTGGGTGCCGGCCAGCTCAGTGGTCTAGCAGTGAAGTGTTCGCGCGCGCGAGACTAATAGATCCTACGTCCGAATCTCGCGAGGTGAGGTCGGCGATGCGCGCTGTTAAAGAGTCCTATACTATGATGAAACGACCGTCCAATGCTTCTAGATTTTCCATGATGATCTAGCTTCAATTGACTCATGAATTCAACTATTAAATTTAAAGTGGACTGGCATTGTACATAAACTATTCCTAACTCTATGACTAAAATAATTAGAGTTAATGAATATCATATTAGTTTGTAATTAGTTTCTACTCTTATTTAACCTTCGTATGTAATTACTTTATCATAATTTCAATTAAGTGTCCTACTTAGTATGCGGGTATTCAACCTCAAATAAAAGCATGATTTGACATTTTATATGTTTATCCACTATTAAGCTAAGCATGATGATTATAAAATTAATCAATGAGAAAATTCTGTCATATTCTAATTTAATAGTTGAATTCATAAGTCAATTGAATCTAGATCACTATGGAAAACCTGGAAACACTGGATAGTCTTTTCGTCCTAGTATGGAACTTTTCAGCAGTACGCATTATTGATCCTACCTCGCTAGCGCACGGAACTGATAGGTGCTGAGTTCAAATCTCACGGAGCGAGATTGTGGATACACATTGCTGAGAAGTCTCATACCAACACATGTTAGCCGTCTAATGCTCCCAGGTTTTCTATGGTGATCTAGCTTCCATCAACTCATGTTCAAAACTATTGTTTTGTTGATATAACTAACTAATAAGGGTTACAAGGGGATTATTCTATTCTAGAAATAATGGAATGATTAATGATAAATTGTTTTTTTTTGTGTTATACCATAGATATTAGTTTGACCTAAATTTTTGAAAGATTTTTCTTTTTAAATATGATTTCAGATAAGGGAAATTATATGAGATTAACATTTCAATTCGGGGAATCACTCACTTCTTAGAATAAATGACTCATCATTATCCATGGATTCTTGAAAGCAATTTAATGCTAATTTATATCTAAATGATTTATGAGCAATTTAGGTGAATAGAGAATAGTTTATAAAGTTGATAATCAATAAAGATGGTTGCAACAAAATTTGACTTTATGGACGAAGGGGAGGAGGAATTCAACTTGATATCTTATAAGTATAGGGGTTGTGAAGGTTATTAAGTTTTCTATTGAGATCATGAAACGATTGATGTTACACCACCGTTGAAAACTTGGAAGCGCTGGACAACCGTTTCGTCCTATTGTGGGGCTCCTCAATAGTGCGTATCCACGATACCACTCGCAGGATTCGAACCCAGGGCCTTCAGCCTCAAGCGCGGACACTTAACCTATTTTATAGTTATATTGGATTTTTTTTATGAATATTGTTTTGTGATAAAGAACTATCCTCATACTGAATTTTTAAGAGTAATATAAATGAATACCAATTACATATTCTCACTGGTTGAGATCATGAGCCTATTGAAGATAGACCACCATGGAAAACGTGGAAGCACTGGATGACCAACTCGTCCTATTGTGAGAATGCTCAGCTGTGTGCATTCACGATCTTACCTCACGAGATTCTAACCTACGAACAATCAGTCTCGCGCGAGGGCGCTTGATCACTAGACCACTGAGCTGGCCGGCATCCAACGGTGTTAATGTTTGACTTCAACCAATTCACAAAATTGCATGGCCATCCATCATTGTGTTCAGTGAATTACTTTCTCACAACAGACCCAGTTGAACTGGTCATGCTAACATAGTATCAGTATTACTTGAATAATGTAAGTCTGATGTAACACCACTTTTAAAGTTCAGTATTGTTAAAGAGTGCAAAGTTCAGGCAGTTCTTCCAAATTGTAATCAAACCTAATATGAACCCGATCTGTTCTGAGGTTTAACATTAAACCAGTATCTTTATGATTTAGTCGTCATGACTAATAAACTATCTGTAGTATTACCAAAAAGAACTGTAATGAAAGTGATATTGTGAATAAACTATATGAAGACTATTCAGTTTAATAGAATCTGTAAAATAAATTTTGAGCAGTCCATTTGAAGTTCTACCTATGCTCGTAGAAGCTTACATCTTGATAAAGTTTTTTTTCTCTGAGCTGGATGGTTCGATCGTAGAACTTTCATCATTCCGTTGAATGACATCATCAGCGCAAACTTCAAGTAGAAGTGAAGTGCTCGAATTTCTCCACATATGGTTGGTAGCTTGTCTTGTAGACCTCGATGTTGATTGGTTTCTTTTTGACCTTAAACCTGTCATTGTTTACACTTTTTTTGTTTTTGGTTGTATCTCCCATTGATTTGGATAAAAATACATTTTTCTCTTGAGTATTTCCATATCAGGATGAAGCCACTTTTGCGTAATCTATCGTTTCCATTAGTTGTTCATATAAACTAATTCTATGAAAAGTTTTTAAATCGAACATCACTTTACCTACTTTAATTCTAATCTTCTCTAGTTTTATTACCATTATCATGTTATGTTTTACTATAAAACATAGACGTTTGAAGTTTTTATTACTTCCATTAGTACATTCATGGTAATTCACTACTGATTGTGTACTTATATAGTTGTAATGAAAAAAAACAACAACCTTACATTAAGTCACAGTTGACTAACTTACAGTTAATTCACCTGTTAGAACAAATGTAATGTGATATCCCAAAAATAGTGGATAGGACACACATTGAGGAAAGCACTCAAATGCACCACAAGGCAACCCCTCACTTGGAATCCTCAAAGTTAAAGGAAAAGAGGAAGACCAAAGAACACATTGAACCGAGGAATGCAGACAGACATGAGAAGAATGAACAACAGTTGAATAGAACTAGAAAAAAAGACCCTGGTTAGAGTGGGTTGGTCAGTGGCCTATGCTCTTTTGGGGGTAATAGGCGTAAGTAAGGTAAAGTAAGTAATTCAAATTAAAAAGCTTATGAAAATTTCAGTCAGTAATAATAAGTTTAATAAGTAGAGATGCATGATGATTAGCAGTGGAATGCATGATGAGAGAAGGGTATTGGTTTCAAGTCTCGGATTGAAAATCAACTTTGGTATACAGGTACATCCAGCTGATGAGCACCAAAAAGGATGAAATGCGTATCCTGAATCTAATTATTGTGCATAGGAGATTAATATTACTGATAGATGATGGTAATCCAATCAAATTTTGATTTTGGTTCTGTGTGTGGTAATAAATGGAGGGTAAAATGAAACGAATGTTTAAGAATTTTGTATTTCCAGCTGATACTTAATCTTGACGAAAACCGTCTTAAAGCAATTTGAGCGTCACCTTCATATTAAACATTCATTTCATTCGATTTGGGTGCTTTCCAAATTCTTCCATTTATTACTGCACACGGAAACATAATCAAAATATGATTGGGTTACCATCATCTATCAGTAATATTAATCACTTCTCTATAATAAATGAACTCGAAGGATTTGAGTGTGACCAATTTGATCTCGTGTGCTATTACCGGTATGAGGGCTGATGTCACTTCCCGGCTGCCCACACCTTGGAAGGGTATATCTTGAGGAATCTGAAAAGAAAGTCGGATTAATGTTTGCCTTAACGACCTGGGAGCATGACCGCAGAGCCGAGGGGACAACTGCTTGAGGCCGGTCGTGGGAGGTTTTTAATGTGTTAGCTCCGTTCTTCAAAGGGCTTTACCGCCGGAGACGGAAATTCGTGAGGTAAGGTGAGGTGTGACATTTTTAGACTCGACCTTTTATAACCCCTTCCTTCCTTGTGAGAAGGCAGAATCGCTGCAGATGCTGTTTGTCCGAGGGAAACACCTTACTGCTGTCATACCTCTCTACAGTCAGAGGTACGACTTCGCCCTCAGACCTTGAGTTGCTGCTTCTAGTCTTACCGTTGTCCAATCGACCTGCCTGGCATGGTAGAACCTACAGGGACATATTTTCCAGCCACTATAGCTCAGTTGGCTCATCACGATAGGCAAGCCCGACCACCGCGTCAAGGTAGCAGCTATATTATTTTCAATTACCTGATTACGTAATAATCATTGTATCTAACAAAAAGTATAATTCCTTCGTAGACTCAACTTTCAAAATGTTTTATATTTAAATGATAAGTCAATACTATTCAGTAATAAGTAGTAATCTATAGTTTTACTAACCTATAGTTTCATCAAAATAACAATAATTAGGTGATTCTTCTAAATAAACTAATTGATTCTTTGGTATCACTTTTGATTTGATCATCACCATACGAGGCCATCTACGCTGAAATTGTTCATTGTTTGAGAAATCATTTTGATCATGTTTAGATATGTTATTATTATGACTTTTAATTAATACTAACCAATTCTTTGAATCTTGATTATGATTTGCTGATAGAACTGGAAGATTTCTTCTAGTCATATAATAGTTATTTTGATTTGGTTTATCATAATTATTAGAATTTATTCTCGTATTAATTCGTTTGAGCATATCTATTCTTGGTTCATATGTTACACGTATAGCTGAATCATATGCTGCTTTCAACATTATACCAACATGACGAAACTCATTAACACGTTGCCAACATGTTCGCATTGAACAAGCTCCACTGACACCATGACATTTACATTTTGTTACACGATTTTTCCATATTAACTAAAATAAATTAAGATAGATTTTTGAATGATTATTTAATATTAGAAAGGGTTATTGTGGATATTATAGTAATTTCAATAGTTCAGATCATGAGTCAATTAAAGATAGACAAACATGAAGCACTGGACAGCAAACTCGTCCTATTATGGGACTCCTCAGCAGCGTACATTCACGATCCCGACCTGTGAGATCCGAACACAGGACATTCCAGTCTGGTGCGCGAACACTTAACCTCTAGACCACTGAGCTGGCCGGCATCCAACGGTGTTAATGTTTAAATTTAAAAAATCCACGAAATTGAGCGACACATCCACCATTGTCTTCAGTGAATTACCTTCTCACAACAGACCCGGTTGAACTTCACTGGTCACTGCTTCTCACTAGAATTCCAAGAGACACCTCTAAAAGCCAGTCACTAATGAGTATATGTTGATTAATATCAGAAGAGGGTCCAGTGCTTCCAGGTTTTCTATGGTGGTCTAGCTTCGATTGACTCATGATCTCAACCATTGAGATTATTTAATACTTCGGTTGATCCGGGAAAAAATTTGAAAAATAATTACAACTTTTCAGATCAGTATCAAGAACGTACAAGTATTTATAAATAGTTGTCTACGCAAGATACTCAACATCCATTGGCCGGATACAATCATTAACAGCCTACTATGGAAGAGAACAAACCAGCTTCCAGCTGAAGAGGGAATTAGGAAAATACATTGGGAATGGATAAGACATACATTATGGAAATCACCAAAATGCATGACGAGGCAAGCCCTAACTTTGAATCGTGAAGGGAAGTGGAAAAGAGGAAGGCCAGAGAACACATTACGTCGGGAAATATATGCCGATATGAAAAGGATGGATAACAACTGGAAAGGATTGTTCAGGACAGGGTGGGATGTAGATTGCTGGTGTGAGATCTATGCTGCTCTGCGAGGAGTAACAGGAATAAACTACTATTACTTTAGTCAATATTATATTTTTGGTACAATATAGAATTCTTGGCACAAAGTATTTCAACAAGCTTCCGTTTGTTACTTCTTGGTCGATCCTCACAATAAATATTGAGTGGCCACCAGTTAGAAGTTAGCAATTCAATCAATCGACATCTAAATAATGCATATTGCCAGCAACCATGAGATCTCTGATTGAGCTTTTTGTAAATTATACAACGAAAGATTGTACACTTTTCATAAACGCACTTAACAGTCATAATGATGTATTAAAACTAACAAACAAACAAACTTGTTGAAATGTCTAGATGTCAGGAATAGATAGCCCAGATATTCAGGTAAGCCGTTGGTCATCTATCTAAGTTTATTGTAACCACAATCTATACTTATGGGATTACAGTTGAAACACACTCCTTGAGTAATTAAATATCCTAGATGTTTTGTGTGTATTTCTTCATCTTAGAAGATAATGCTTCATTATAAGAAAAATGATTGTAATGGATTATTTCATTGTGAATAATATTCAGTTACATGGTGATTTTTAAAGGTTGATTCCATTTTGTTTCCATTCTTTACTGTTCGATCCTCTTGTCTCTCTACTGCCAGACCTTCTGTTCACGACTAACATCATATACTACTTATGTCAATATAAGTAGCACATACTACATATTCATCACAAATTTTATCCTTCCTTTCACTTATTTAGTAACCACTAGTTAACCTATAATAATGTGTTAAAAGTTAAGTCCATATTCCTTTTTTAAGTCACAGATAATTTGATAGTCATTGTTCGAGTTCCTAATGGAATATGAAACCTTCATTGAAAACCACAAGGTAAATGTATATAGTATTGGAACTAAAGAACATATGGAACTCAAAACAACTTTCAACCAATATCAAAGTGAGAATCTTCAATACGAACGTCAAGCCAGTCCTACTGTATGGAGCTGAAACTTGGAGAACTACAACAACCACAATCAAGAAAGTACAAGTATTTATAAATAGTTGTCTACGCAAGATTCTCAACATCCATTGGCCGGATACCATCAGCAATAGCCTTCTGTGGGAGAGAACAAACCAACTTCCAGCTGAAGAAGAAATTAGGAAAAGACGATGGAAATGGATAGGACATACATTACGCAAATCGTCGAACTGCATCACGAGGCAAGCCCTAACTTGGAATCCTGAAGGGAAGCGAAAAAGAGGAAGGCCAAAGAACACATTGCGTCGGATAATAGAAGCAGATATGAAAAGGATGAATTACAACTGGGCGGAGCTAGAAAGGATTGCCCAGGACAGGGTTGGATGGAGAATGCTGGTGAGCGGCCTATGCTCCTTCACGAGGAGTAACAGGCATAAGTAAGTAAGTATTGGAACTAAAAATGTGTATCATTAAAGATGTGTTCAAAGAAGACAAGGTTATTCACATTTGAATTGATTGGTTGGTTTATTATAGAGATGAATTAAAACTTGAATTAGATTAATGAATTGACTTCAGTTCGTTAACTGTTAGAAGTTAATAATCATTCAACAATATGCTTCACACGAAACATAAACTAAAATGAAGAACATGTCTAGTTACTCCAGTTTTTGCTTTCATCATTCTGTAACTGTACATGATGAATTTCGCTTGAATGAGTTAGGTTAATAGTCATTTTATACTTTGAAGATATTAATGATGCATCTCACAAGTAGAAGAATGTAATGGGAAATGTCTTTCTAAATAGAAAAAAAGGTAATTAGGAACAAAGAATAGTTCAAACAGTTCACCCCTTAATGCCCTGGTACGGCCGAGAGTGGGGAGAGTCCGCTCTCTCTCTCCAAATGCTCTCATATGGCCACGCGTATACAGCATCTGCCGGAGAAGTCCTACTCACTGCCTTCTCGTGGTGAGGGTGTTGTTTACGAAAAGAAGAGGACAAAAAGCGAATATCCGGCGCTTTAACCGGATTCCAAACCAATGGTGCACATGGGCTCCAGTATCCTGAGGGAACAAATGGCGTATGAACCAATTTTTGGTCACCGGCTTCCATGGGACTGCATCTCCTTACGATGCTCCACTGCCTTATGGATCAGACCTTCAGGTCGAAGGCTCGGGGTGTGGCCCCCCAAGATAACCACCACCTGTTTCGGTTTGGGCACCTGGGCAGTATCACAGCTCTCACACATATCGAATGAGATTTGTGTGGCACATATGTATTTGGTGCCTCCTTGTACCAATATCTATGTGTTTAAATAAATAAATAAATAAATCATTAAAACAGTTCAATCAGCTTAACTTACTCGTCTTCCAGCTTTTTTATTATGTAAATTCATTAATGTTCTGGCTTTAGTTTGAATAATTTGTAATGTCTCCATTTGAAGTTCTCTATGTGAAAGGATTGTATTGGATTTATTCATTGGTTTTATTAAATTTTTAACATTTTCTGTAACGTTTGGTTTGAAATGTTGATCAGATGTACTATTATTAAATGAACGTTGAAATCTATGGATTCTTTGTAGTTTTCTTGTATTTTGTTTATTTTGATTATTAAGTCTCATTGATGATAATAATTGAATTTTTTGTTCATGAAGTTCTTGTTCTCTTTGTACTGCAGCATTACGATGTTCTTCATCATTTGCATCTAAAAATAAACGTGCTAAACGCATACCAAATCGTATAGGATCACTACATCCACCCCAAGTGAAAATTCCTTCAGCATCTCTACCTTGACCTTCACGTCGATGTGGATCACAATCGCATGTTCCCATTTGACCTCGACTACATGCTCGTGTTATTGCTTGGACAACACCAGCTGACCATGATGATGAGAGAAATGCAGTTTCTCTGGATCCTAAATGTTAAAAAGTATACCGTTATTAAGTAGTGAGTGAATGCTCACTGAATATTTATGTCAAATATATAGAAATGTGTAATCATCAAGTACTCAAAAACTGAACCGAACTTAATTAGGTCGAAAACGTAGTATGTTTCTTTTTACGAAATAATATATCCTTTACATTTGATTAAATATTCATAATCTTAATATGCTCACTAATGACCAGCTACTAGATGGGATTCTCGGAGTTTTAGTGAGAAGCCGTGACCAATGGAGTTCAACTTTGTCGGGTGTAAGGCAGTTATCCATTAAAGACAATGGAATTTGTTCGCTTTGGTCCAGTGGTCTAAAGGTTGAACGTAAACACACAGGATCGAAGTCCTTGGGTTCAAATCTCGTGTATGGGATCATGGATTCGCACAACTTGGGAGTCCCATACTAGAATAAAAAGACCGTCCCGTGCATCTCCGTTTCTAATGGTAGTCTAACAGTGGTCAGTTCATAATTCCAATTAGATTCAACAAACTTCACAACCTCAAATTAGAAATAAATTTAGTTACATTGTCGTAAAATTATGCGGTAAAAAATTGTCCGTTTCAAAAATTTCGGGGGGGGGGTAATTTTTACTCTTTAAATTTTAGCAGAAAAATTATTTTCTAAAATCTTATTTCCATTAAAAAGAAAAGACTTTGACTGATTGTCTTGATTCATTTACAGAAAAAGTTGGCTGAAGCAAACATTAGTACGGTAACTAGTCCATCAAAATACAAAACGGCATTTCTACTATAGTTTCAACCCATAGTCAAATTATCTGAATAGAATAGTTTTACATTCATAATCTCCAAACAACATAAGTTGATTAAACCGAGCATTCAATTTGTAAGCAATTTTCCCCCTTTTAAATCTCAAATCAGTTTATAGTTTTATTCAGAAAATCGGTTTCATCACTTGTGCCTGTATTAGTTCTTAACATTAAATTTATAAACTTGATATTCAAAAGACTCCTCGAAAGTTTATCTCTCGTAAATTACCTACTTATTAGTAGTATATATTTTAACACAAATATTTCAGATGCTTTAAATTATTTTGCAAGTAGAATGTTACGGCAATATTTTACTTCTGATAATAAGACTTTTTTTCAAGATTGGAAGTTCATTGGAATATGAAAGTAACTAAATTTTTGAAATTATGGAATTATAAAAGCAAAGTTTAACCCTAGAATATCAATCATTTTATAAGCAGAGTTGAGTAGCATCTAGCATTGGAATATAGGAATCGCGTGCCGCTCTATTTAGAGCGGATTTACCTGGTGTCAATGGTCTTACCGTCCTCTTCAAATCTTATATGCTTCTGCTCACTTGTTGTTTGACTACCATGAAAAACTTGGAAACACTGGATGGTTGTTTCGTCCTAGTATGGGACTCCTCAGTAGTACATAATTGTTTACACTTTTTCAAGTTTAACACCTAGTGATATTAATTAATGAATTAGAAATAATATTTAATCGACAAATCGTTTTATATATACTTACCACGTTGTAAAATTCCTTCTAATCCATGAATTAATGGTAAATTTGATGATTTTTTATGAGTACGATATAATAAATTAACTGCAGAACAATTCCATTGTTCATGTTTAAATTGATGTATACATTCATTCATACTTAAATGTGTACCTTCAAGCATTGCCCATATTAAACCAGTATGTTGTAAACAAATATAACGTTGACGATTAGTTAAACCAGATAATATATGACATATACCTGTTTCATGTATTGATAAATCATTATCTTTTGTAAGATAAGATTGACTAGTAACTAATTGATTCAATTCATTATGATAGGATGAAGGATGTAAAATATTCTCCTTTTGATTTAAATAGATGATTTCAGAGTTACTCATTTGATTTGATTTATAATCTGATGAATCTATCCAATTTGAAGGATTGATTATATTATTGTAGTCAAGTGAATTTGTTAGATGATACATCGGTTTCATATTCATATATGAAGGTGAATTCAACTTTTTCAAATGACTTAACATTAATAAATCAAAAACCCTGAAGATCAATTCAAAATAAACATGATTGATATCATAATCAGAGAAGGATATTTATGGATATTATAATGAATAAATAGTTGAATTCATGAGTTCATTGAAGTTAGACCATCATGGATAACCTGGAAGTACTGAACAGCCATTTCGTTCTAGTATAGGACTCTTCAGTAGTACGCATCCATGATCCTGTCATGCGAGATTCTAACCGAAGATTCAGTGGTTTCAGGTTTTTCATAATGCTCTAGCTTCATTTGACTCATGAATTCAACTATTAAATTTATATAATAGTTTACATTATTATATGCTTATTCACAATCATATGTGATTACTTTATAAGAAAGAATGGTATAACATAAAAAATCTATCAATTACCATGGAAGAAGAATAATAATTCTAGAAGATGATAATCAGATAAATAAATGCTACCAACGATTTAAACAACACAACAAATTGTTGACTTATGTTACATGTTTAGAGATAACGGTTAACATAATTTGAGTTCCAGAGTGAACAATAACTTTGAGATGGAGGCACATTCAACTGACGAGTCACAAACAGGATGAAACACAAGTCCTAAATTCCACTGCTAGCCACTATCCATCTTTGATTCCATTGATATCATCGAGATATTGCAAAAAATGTTAAGAGTGTCCACTTAATAACCAGGATCAAATGAGAGTTAGAAACATGTGTGAGGATTTCGAATTATGATTTACAGTTGGTGGTTAAAGTTAGGAATTACATTTAAGGTTTTCATCACGAACTGACATCGGCTATAATGCCAAAACATCTATTTAACCAAATAGATGAGTAAATTTCGTTCCAAAATTCGATACCTGTGTATCTTATACGTGATTAGTTCGTCCATAAATGATACTCTTGCCATTGTCGTCTAATTAATTTTTGTGGCCTGATATCTTGCTCCAATTCAACAGTATGAATGATTGTTATCGAACCATATACATGTCGCTAATCCTCATATATAATTATCGACTTAACTTGTGTTGGTGAATAACGAGATTAAAATAAATCAATTACGAGAATGAAGTTTTGAATGTGTATGCTTTGTACAATCGTTGACAGACAATCAAAGAAGTGAAACGTAAGAAGCGAAAAAAGAGAGAATGAAGCGAAACGGATTAGAGAATGCATGTTAGCCAATTCGCTCTAATTAAGCATTATTCAATAATTATAGTCAAGTCGAATCAAGGCAAAAAGAGAGGCAAGTAAAGATTAAGCAAGATGAAGTGAAATAAGGCAAAGCAAAGCTAGGTGAAGTGAATCGAATAGTCAAAAACGTCAAAATGTGATTCAAGAAGAATCAATCAATTGATCTACCCAAAAGTTAGAATAACCAATGTGGGCTCAACATACGATCAGACACTACACTATCTTCGATTGATAAAAGTTATTTTAAAACACTTATAAATGTCAATATTCCATATTATACTGGCATTTGACTAGTTGACTATTTCAATGACAATTAAACTGTTAATATTCATAACCTTTAAAAGTTATGCTTATCAACATTGAAATACTCTAAACGTTTTAAGTATCTTCATACATTGACAGTATTCAAATCGACCTGTCGAATTCTGTATTGATATTAGCAAAGAATATAAAAGTTTACCTTATAGGAGTTTCATGAACTAGTAATATCTGGTAACATTAAATTAAAGTCAATCAAATTAAGCTAATGAGATAATTATAGACAAGTGGATAGTATTGACAGTAACATAGAAAAATAAAGGTTTTCTGAAGAGTTGTTAGGATGTGCAGAAAAATATACCAATAATTATCATGTTAAGTCTAATGGTGTCCTTGGACGTTAAGTGAACATTGGTCGATATTTATTTCACTTGTCAAATATTGCACAAATGTTGTTTTCTATTTTATGATACGATGTGGTCTGGTTGATTGGTATATAAATAGAGTATGTCTGAAATATAATGGTTCATATCTCAGAGGCTAAGACTTGCGTTCCGGACTGAATTGGCTGGGCTAGACAGGGAAGCGGGACCAATCGAGACTCTAGGCCGTCCGTACGTGTTTTTCGTGTCATTGAATCGATCGATAAATACGCTGCTCTTTAATCTTACAGTCAAGGACACAACAATTGGCACGGGGTAAAAAGCGATCCAAGTTTAAAGTCACAACAAGGATATTATCAGTCAGTCAGCTACAACGTGGGACTAGGCACATATATACATCGGTTCAAGTTGCCATACCTCATTAGCACAACATGATGAACACCAACTTCATAGAAGTAGTTAATCCAATGGTGGTAATATATAAAAGAAGGATTGCATATAAGGATATAGTACTGTTGCTGTTACTTTGACGTGGTGGTCGAGCTTTCCTATCGTGGTGAACCAATCAAGCTATATTTGTTGGAACAATCGTTCCTCAAGGTCCTACCATGCCAGACAGGTCGGCTGAAGAACGGTAAGACTATAAACAGAAAACTCAAGGTTCGAAGGCGAAGTCGTATTGCTGACTTTACAGAGGTGTGACAGCAGTAAGGTGTTTCCTTCAGAAAACCAACGTAACAGCGATGCTGTCTTAACACAAAGAGGGGTGTGGTTAGAAAAGGTTGACCCTAAAAATGAACGTCATGCCTTGTCCCACGGATATCCGTCTCCGGAGATGAGGTCTCAAATACAACGGAGCTAACACGAAAACTACTCACAGAAAGGTGGTGCGTGACCGACCTCAAGCAGTTGTCTCTTGGGCACTGCGGTCACGCTCTCAGGTCACTATGACCACCTCTAACCCGATTTCCTTTTCAGGCACCTCCAGAAAAACCCTTCCTCGATGTGTGGTCAACCGAGAAGTGATAACTGCCCTCATATCTCTAACGGCGCTCAAGAAGAGTATTATACATAACATTTAACTCAAGTATTATTAAACAAAGTAGCATTTAGTAAATTAATATGCTTTTTATTAATTACGAGATATGAGGTTCGAACGATTGGAAGGACTTGTGAACACGTATTTCAATATCTGATTGTATATCATTTAAACTTACTTACACCTGTTACCCGTCACGGAGGAGCATAGGCCGCTTACTGGCATTCTCCATTCACTCCGCCTGTAGCTCTTCTAAATCTACTTCCGGTCTCAAGCCCGGGTAAAGAAGGAGGGTTTGGAATGGAGTTGTCAACCCCATCCTATAGAGAACAATCTTGCTAAAAAAAGACTCTAACTAGAATATCATTTAAAGCACTAATTAAAATACGCATTCTATCTCATTGTAGAATTAATCTAATTAGATGTATAGTTTCATTTGATTGATCACTGGGTGGTGATCAATGTTACGTGTGTCAAGTCCTTATTTAGTGCAGATCAGATGCTACCGATAGCTCAGTGGTAACGTCTCTAACTGTGAAGCTGGTGGACACGGGATCGAATCCACCAAAGAGCACCAGTTCCCTCAAGATTACAGGTACACCTTGCTGACGAGTGCCAAGTAGCACGAAACCCAAGTACAGGGTTTCCTGTCGACTACCTCCATTCAACATCCAATCTCAGATGTGTAGTCTAAATAAAATTGTATGTTGAATATATGCATAAATGAAGGTCAGTAAATTAGACTGGATCAATCTTATTTCGAATCAAAATACATTCCCCCCCCTTCCAGCTTATAACGATACATTTATAAAATACACTCAATGATATTTAGATCAAATTTAGTTACTCCCTAGGAAACAGAATATATAGATAATCTAATATGATAGTGATATAAATTATGTTCGAAAATAAACGTTGTTGTTATGTAAGGATGAATACAGTGAAAATACTATTTAAAAAATGACAACCTTTAATGATAATGCCTCATTAGTAAATTTATATACATAAGGAATTCAGAATGATACATTTAATAAGAGGCAGGCCCTAACTTGGAATCCTGAAGGTAAGCGAAAGAGAGGAAAGCCAAAGAGCACACTACGTCGGGAAATAGAAGCAGATATGAAAAGGATGAACAACAACTGGAAGGAGCTGGAAAGGATTGCTCAGGACAGGGTTGGATGAAGAATGCTAGTGAGCAGCCTATGCTCCTTCACGAGGAGTAACAGGTGTAAGTAAGTAAGTAAGTATATACAACTAAAACAAAGAATAAAACGTAACATAATAAGATCAATGATTCTTTACAGTGGGGATTCAAATTACTCTCATTATCATGGTTTGGATTATTCTGTTGTTGATATTTCGACTAAAATGTGATTCTTCTTAATTGTTATATGTGATTTGTATGGGGATTGCCTCAATATAGCTAGTATGATGATGCCCATATAAAATAATGAAGGTAAATCTATCTAAGCAGTATTAAATGAGATGAAACGCGTGTTCTGCATTCCACTGCTAACTACATTTAATTTATTCTTCATAAACATATTATAATTATCAGAAGGGGTTTTATGGATATTTTAATAATTTCAATAGTTGAGATCGTGAGTCAGTTGAAGCTAGACAACCATCGAAAACCTCGAAGCACTGGACGGCCGTTTCGTCCTAGTATTGGACTCCTCAGCGGTGCGCATTCACGATACCGCCCCCCCCCCGAGAGATTCGAACCCAGGACCTGTCAGTCTTGTGTTATCGAGACAATCTGCACATGATATCTGGACTAAGCGTATAAGTAGATAACGTGTTGGAGTTTGAAGAAGACAGTACTAAATTTCAGTCTCGGAATGAAAATCAACTCAAGGCTACAAACAAATCTAACTGGCAAACCCCAAACGGAACCAAATGCACATCCTTGATTTCACTGATAGTCACATTCAATATATTATATATACTCAAATTGGCTAAAGCATATAATTATTACTAAACCACAACTTTTATTTGTAAATAGCTTCATAAATGTAAGCTACTGATGGAAGAGTGACTACATGTGTGCTTTTAACTATGCCATAGGTAGTTTTCTTGTTTAATTATTCTAACAAATAAAAACTTGAGAAACATATTTACTTGCTAAACTTTGTGCTCTAAACCTTCATC